CTCTGAGGGCAACTGCCCCCTGCTACCCCCTCCCCACACAAACTCTCTCCCCAGTTTCCCTGGGGGGTTGGCGACGCACCGGTCGCACCTGATCTTTGTACCTCCCCTGAGGGCAGGGAGGTGGCGGCTCCCGTGTGCACAGCCCCGGGGGCCGTCACACAACAGGAAGGCCGGGGGGATCTTACCCCATCGGGGCCTGATGCCACGCTGGCCACAAACCGGTGTTGCTCAGACAGGAAATGCTGCTTGTGCGGGAGCCGGTTGGATTCTCCAGGGCATGCCGGGGAGCTCTCCGAGAATAACCCACCCACGTGGTCTCTTTCCCGGCAGGCGGCTCCGGGGGGTGAGCCCGGAGGCCCTGGCTGCAGCGCCGCCCGGCTCTTGCCCCGTTGCACGGCCTGATCCCGTCCCCGCCGGCGCCGAGCGGGACGATGGGGAACCACGCGGACCCCTCGCCGCTGCTCATCTACTGGCTCACGGGCTCCCTCGCCGTCTTCATCATCCTGGCCAACCTCGCCATCACCCTGGGGATCCTCTGCAACCGGACGCTGCACGGCGCCACCAGCTGGTTCTTCCTCAGCCTGCTCTTTGCCGACCTCCTCACCGGTGCGGCCCTCCCCTTCATCCCCCGGGTGAAGCTGGAGGTCAGCTGGGGCTACCACCGCTGCTTCTTCATCCACGTGGTCCCCAACTTCTTCTTCCTCTCCTTCCTGGCCAACCTGCTGATGGTGCACTGCCAGAGGTACCTGAGCGTCTGCTACCCGCTGCACTACCACCGCCTCTGGGTGTCCCGCTGGGTGCCCCTCTGCCTGCTGCTGGCCTGGGCCCTGCCCCTGCTCTTTGCCTGCCTGCCCGTGCTGGGCTGGAACCACTGGGAGACCAGTTCCAACTGCTCCTACAGCCAGGTCTTCCCCCGGGCGTACCTCTACCTGGAGATCTACGGCTTCCTCATCCCCTCCATCCTGGCCATGGCCATCATGTCCACCCAGCTGCTGCGGGTGGCCCGGCGCCACATGCAGGCGATCACGACGGTGCTGCATTCGGTGCACCCAGGCCAGGCCCCCTCGGCGCTGGAGCAGCAGCCG